ATATTGACTTTTCGGTGGCTGTATAAATTTTGAAAACAATGCCGTAAATGTTTACTTGCGACGCTGGCAGGAATGTCAATAGCTGATGAAATGTACTGGGGGTGTTCATTACAAGTGTGTACATTTCTCATAATTGGTAATAGCTCAGTAAACTTTTTCCTCGTTATTGTTTCCGTTGCCTGTCTGGTTAATACAGCAACCCCGTGCATTGAACCACATCGGTAGGGTTGATGTGGGTCGGTCGTTGCCTATTAAGAAACTAGTTTTTTTTTTTTCTTTCTTTGTAAGGATTATCTTGTGGCATAACATTTTAGTGCCTTTAAGCTAAATTGACAGTCAGATTGTATTACCAAACTGAGGTTTTCAAATGTTCGGTGACATGAATGTTGTTGTTTACATAATGGCTAGACTGAGTTTAAGATTAGAATTACATTATTTTTTTTATGTTTATGGAATAGATAAATATAAACTGAAAAAAAAAAAAAATAATGGACATGTTAAAATACTCTGCTTGACTCTGTAAACTTTGCAAAAAAAAATTATGTTCAAGTTGTATTGTTTACTATATGTCTCGTAAGTATCCCTTCACATGCTTCTTTTGGGTGGTTTGCTAAACAGTGGGTGCAGTGGCTACATGAATAAAAACAATCGTATTCCATAATTCAGAAAGTGAGGAATTTGAACGATGTGGATGAGAAAACAAATCAAGAATCAGGTGTGAATTACAGACCTATCTTTACAGTTGGAAACTCTTCATATTAAATTTTGAAAAATTAATAACTCAATATCGCTGAAAACTGAATCACAAAACAATCTTCAAAAATATCTCAAATTTTTCTGATATTTTTAAGAAATTATGGTGCATTTGGTGAACCAAATATGTTGCTGAAGCAAAATGAACTAATTAGAGACAATACATTTTTAAAGCTTTCATGTACTGGGTAAATTATAATAAATTCTTCTTTGTAGCTGGAAGCTTACGTAGAAGAGAAGTCAGCTGAAGCCAACAAACAAAGGAAGTTACGAGAACGGAGTGAACAGTACTCAAAACAATTAGAAGATGAAATGGAAACCATGAAGGTAGTTGAACA